CCTCAGTACGGCAGGATGAACCGTATCCGGGCCAGGAGAAGTGTCAAGTCTTAAGTGCTGCAATTTCCGGAACACCAAGTCAGCGCTTAGGTCCACTTCAGAAAGTCCTGTGGAATTGCAGATGAAACTGTCGTCAATGAAGTTGATGTCAGCCGGTTGAAATGTTTGAGAGTAATGTGCCGCCAGAAGGTTAGCGGCGTCGCCATCGTTGTTGGTCGGGCCGTTAAGACCTAGCAGTTGAGAAACTCCTGTTTTGGCTTGACGAAGAGAGGCTGCATAACGGAATAGGCTTCTAGGGTTAGAGGCGAATTTGTCCATAAGCTTTGTTTGGTACTGAAGCCTGTCTTCTCTTATAGCCTTCGAGCATATGTTCCTGATATGTTTATATTGCCTATACGCTCCATCGTTATTAGTTCGTTTGTATTCCGCCCAACAGTGCCTTTTGCGGCTTAGCAGGCGAAGAGTACGGTTCTTGATTACTGTAGGTGGCTTGCAGCTTTTGGGAACCGTTTGAGGAACTGAATGGTCTGTAGCACATAAGAACGTGTGCAGTAAGAAGTCCCAATGACCATCCACATCGAGTTGAGGGTGAACATCCCGAACCACCTGTTGTAGATAGTCATGTAGAGCTAGCACATTCAGCCGTTTAAAATTCCAACGCAAATTATTGTTGGGATACCTTAGCTTAGTTTTGATGACAAAACTGAAGGCTATGACGGCATGATCGCTCTTTCCCAGAGGAGCCAGGATTGAGAGGTTGTCGACTAGGAATTCTTCGTTAGTGAATACACAGTCTAAGCGCGATGGTGTCTGACTGTTTCTCCAACGAGTTGTCGACGTCCTATTTTCATATAAGCCCAAGTTATCGATGATGTTGAAGAACCGAGCTTCAATTGAGTTGTCGCCTCCAGTGTACGTGTGTTCCACGAAGTTGACTCCAGGGAGATTAAAGTCCCTTAGAATCAGGATGTGTGTGAAACCGAGATGAGTAGAGCGGGATACGACTATCGTACTCGATGTCGGCAGTTGGCTTCCTGTAAATGACTCCGACTAGACACCTCGAAGTACTAGACAATCTTACAGAGCACCATATGGATTCCTCAAGATTGTTAAACTCGAGGTTGTGAACTTGGTGCACCTCCAAGCAAGAGCTTATGTATATGGCTACTCCGCCCCCAGTTCCTGTTTTTCTGTCGTTGCGGAACAAAGTCATCCCAGGTAATGCTAACTCTTGGTCCGAGAACTGAGAAGATATCCAGGTTTCAGATATTCCTATCAGATGGGCCTTATTAACGTTGCTAAGTTCACGTAGTTCCTCCAGTTTGTTTGGTAGACTCGCGGCGTTCATATATAAGCAGTTTATGCTTTCAATTTGGAACGCGTGAGCTTCGTCCTCTTTTTCTGTATGAACCTTATGTGAATGGACAGGTAGCCCACCTATATGAGGTTTGTCGAGGTGGTAGGCCCTGTCCTTTACACGTTTTTTTATCGTTTAGACAGTCCGCAAGTGGAATGGTCAGCTCCAACTTGCCTTTGTTCTTGGTCCTAGCTTCGTATGGCCTATCCGAGTGCATGTGGATTCCAGGTGGCAATCGACGTCTATTGGCACGAAATGCTTCCAGAACTGCAGCCGCCATGTGGGAAGATGGGAAGGTTATCTTCATTAGACGGGGTCTAAGATCACCGTCCTTCTTGGCTAGTCTCGTCACATGCTGAGTCAGTATGTGTTTGAGCCTCAAGGACTGTTTGATGAATTTCCATTCCCTGATGTCAGAATTTGATTGAGTAGGGTCTGTATTTTCCGGTATACCTTGAATAATTATGTTTCTTCCGCGGAAAAACTTCTCGCGAGATTCTTTAGGGACGTTTCGTATGATATTGCGCTCAGAGTACGGTATGTCGGGCAATATTCTTACGTTACCATCTGATTTCAGCAAGTGACTTGCTAGCAAGACGTCCCCTACGTCGGTTGCATTCTTAAGTGTTACTCGGAGAAGCCTCGGGTGATTTAGATGCTTAGAATCCTTTCCTCGAGTGAGCCGGGTGACCGTCAAAGGCTCTATTCTAGGAAGTTCGAGCTTCTTATTCAATTCACCCCACAGCATCCTGTCGTTTTTGTCCTGCAGACTGAGAGGAAGGTCAGGATTGTCAACGAGGTTCATGATAATGAGAGAATCGTCACGAACTGTTGTTAATTTACCAGGTTTCACGATGGGTTCAGGTTGAATAATTTGTTGTTTGGAGGTCAGTGTGCGTTTTTGAATCTTGGGTTCTTTATTGAGCGGACGAACAGTCTTGGGGGTAGACTGTGCGACCAAATCACCAGTTATTTTCCGTGCAGCAACACTTGGGTTGCTCGGCTTAGGCGGTGATGCCTGGTTCTTTTGGGCTCTCTTAACGTGGGTCGAATCACCTAAAGGGTCTTTGGGAACCACTGTTGTGTTCAGGGAACCTGAGCTGGGAGACCCGAGTTTGCCTAGGGAGTCAAGTACTGTCGACGTAATGATGGTGCTGAGCCTCGACACGTCGTCATTAGTGTTGATAGATGCTCCATCGATGGTATACCTATCGACATCCCTATTTTTGAGTCCGTCACACGCTCTTGTTTGTCGACCGGTTTTTTTACTATCGTTATCCAAGTTAGCTGACAACTTGTTCCGAAGACCTGTCAGTAGGACAATGATGTTACTCAGCAAGACTACTGCGTCCGTGCTGCACGTGACACATACCCACTTTTGGTCTGACTTGCTGAGTCTGTTGTAAGCAGTTGCCGTCAGATCTGTGCATGCTTCGTGGAACCAACCTTTGCAGTTGTCGCATTGCATGCCAGTTGTGACAGCAAAACGGCATCCCGGACGTTTTCATGAGTTTTTCATGACTGTGTTGAAGCAAACTATGTTATAGATGCTTGCAAGAGCCTAAGACCTTTTAAAAAAACACTAAAAAGCACACTGAAAACGGACAAAAATGGACAGAGTGAGTGATATAAACTGAAACTAGTCTATACGTGAAAAACAAAAAAACCGAATAGTAAGCTGAGGCAAAACCACAGGTAACTATTAAATATAGTGAGACTCAAAAAAAGTAATCTACCGAACGTATAGCTCAGGATAGATTCTTTAGAACTGAAATGGTACTTTTGTTGCGTAAGAACACAGCAAAAGTTTGATAAATGCAAATCACGTTTGGGCTAAACTTCCCGTTCGAAAAGCGCGCTCTGATAATAGCCTATACCAAGTTCTACGACATAACTTAATGGTTTTCTGGGTTTGGTTAACTTTTATCGCAGATTCGTACTTGGTTGTGCCCGAATAATGAAACCTTTGACAGATTCACTTAGAGGAAAACTAGAAGAATTTAAGCTGACTTTCAAGGCTGTCAAGTAGCTAAAGGTTAAGCTATCTCATGCATCTACATCGACGTATGCGAATTCCCATTTCCCAGTTACTTTGGTGGTGGATGCTTAGGACGAAGCAGTAGACTTTATCGTGATATAAAAGCAAGAAAACACTGACTCAGTAAGTATCAATAGGCCAAAAACCGTCTTGTTTAGATAATGCACTATCATGCGTACTATGTTTACCTGACAAAACAATTAAAGAATTAGTATATATATATATATATATAGTATATGTATAATCCCACGGGGCGGGGTCGTGGATACACACTGCTGAGGAGTCCCACGATGGGACGAAATGGCCGTCCAGTGGCTTCCAGTTTTTCCATGGTGGTCTGGCTTCATTATCTCAACTATTGGAATTATAGAATTCACAAGTAACGACGAGAATTCGCTATCGATGACCAAAACGGTGTGATGGCATAACCTGTTATACAGGGAGGGATATCCACAGTTTTGGATTGAGCCTAAAATATAACAACTTACCTACTACAATGCTGGTCTATTAAATTTTTTGTTTTTATCCAGATGACAAAACGTACTTACCTCTTTTCAAAAAGATATAGTACCATAATAATAGTTTTAAGTAATGCACTACTCGCACCTCTTCATATCTTTCTTTCGATGTACGAGCGTTATATCCACTCCTTATACTGAGTACATAAGCGTTTTATCCCTAAACAATTCATCGAGAGAAAAAATCAACAACATATCAGCAGAGGCAAGTGACTAGAGAACAAAAAATATTGAACTGAGGTGAGTGGTGTGGACAGGCTTCACCTATGTTATTATTCAGTTTTCTAGATTTTTCTGCTCGTTTCTCCATCACATTATGCATTATCGATTTTGAGCTCTATTAACGCTTGTAATATATAATATAGGGGAGTTGACAAACTATCCTCTTTGTTTTGCTTTCACGCTTCTAATTTCAATGCCAGACGAATAGCTGAAATAAATTCATCCCACTCAATTTATATTTGGCCTTTAATGACCACTGTCGCTCGGTCTATATATATATATATATATATATATATATATATATATATATATATAAATATATATATATATATATATATATATAAAGTTAAAGGGAATTCAAATGGTTCAAATGGGAAGATCTATGTTCACGACATATTCGTTCGTTCATTCAAATCGGAGTCAGATAAAAGGTCATTAGAATGCTATTTCTCAGTGGATTTAGAAAGAATGTAGTGCTAAGCTATGGCGTATCAAATGTTTGTTTTCATGTTAATATGGCTCCTTTTATTTATCCAATTTGATAGTGATTATCTGATACTACATAATTAGACGACTCAAGAAACAAGACGAAACAGTTTATTCAAGTTTGAATCGCTATAATTTACACTATCACGCATTTTATTGACACATCCTATGGGCAAGTTAATTAATATACATTACCTGACCAATTTACACCAAGGTCAGAGTTTGATATTAAGGGTCAATCACTATAATGAAGCATATTATCAAGTATTTAGTAGAGATGGGTTTTTTTCATGAGCGTTGTAATCGGAAATATTTTACTTACGACTGCAGTAAAACAACTGTGGTAGCGAAAAGATACTGTCTTCAGTGCATCATTTAAATGTCTATAGATGCAAGGTCAAGGCTGGTTCAAGCTTTTAACGATTTCGGAGGTCGTGTTTCCGGTGAACAAATCCTCAAATTCATTAAAGATGACGAACTATTAAACCGAGGTAATTCACTGCACTTCTGTGTGTACTACAATGCTGTATAACCGGATTATGGGTTGCTTCTAAATACGTATTTTTTACTTGAATAATACAATGGCTAATGCACTTATTTGTATTGTCCCTACCATTTAATTTTCATTTGAGTCCTTTGAAATGTGTCTGAAAAGTACTTCAACCACAACCAGTTTGATTAGGATTACTACTGTCTCGCCATCTGCGCAATCTCCCGACTTTTAGGTTTCATTTTGCCCGTTTTGTGGAAATTTTCGGGAAGCTGCAATTGAAATCTTCTGGAAGACTGCGACACAAACCTTAAGTTTTCCCTGGTCAAGGCTTTTTCCAAAAAATATTAAGTTATTTAGTGAAAGTTTTGGAATTACCACAATTTTCTCAGATTTGAGGGTAAACTACAGATCTTCGTATGAATTTGGAAAAAATCTCAAAATTTCTCAGAATTCCTGCAAAACCCGGCGATTGGTTAGCACTAGTAATATAGTGATGCATATTATTAGTGATGATCCCACTTCTATGCCTTGTATAGTCACAACCATATGTATGGTTTGCATTACTAGCCATTGTTACAGAGCAAATAAACATACCTTTCTGTTGTCTTTTTAACTCTCGAAAATGGTTAGTAGGGTTTTATGTTTTATTTTATATAAGTGTGTTAATAGAATTACTAGGGTTGTGGTTATGACTTCAAACTGTATTGTTTGGTAAGCAGAAATCCCAGATTGGATTTTCTTTACATTTGTCATCACCTGTCTCACTCATCCTCCTTTCCTGACAGCTTACGGGTCCACTGCCTCAATGCAAAATCCTATGTAATCATTTATAGTTAGCAGCTAGGTAATCAAAATTGAGATTTTCAATGTGCTCGTTAACATGTCTTTTGTAAAGTATTCTTAATTGAGATCTATGCAAATTATTTAGTTTATGTCGTTCCCTGAAATTTATCTGTGACATGTAGGTTCAAAAATTCAGTCCGTTGTTATAATTGTGTGAATCTCATGTCGTGGATTTTAATGATAAAAATGTTTCAAATAGATAATTTATATACTACTACTGTATTAAAGTTTCATCAGTTGTTTCATGTATTTGTAAATGGGTTTTGTAAACAAGTATCTTGAATTTAACTCAGATTCTACAAAACAGTACACATCATTTCTTACGTTCAAGTACATATTATCTGTATCATTAAAACGTGACGATCTCATTTAGACGCTTAAATTTACATCCGTGAAGTATTATGAAACTTCACACTTCAGAGATAAATCAAACCAGTCTACACACTTTTAGTTAATAAGTAGAAGTGGGAGATCATTTCTATTTGTTTTGGAATTCAAATACATTTAGTTTCACGAAGTATCAATATTATCGTTTCACTGTTGCTGTTTGCGGAAATAATTTCTAACCACACAGTGATATCAGGTCAAGCTTTTCAGTAAGTAATCACTGTATTTTCGGCTCATGGTAAGCACCTCGAGTAAATCGACATTAAAAGTTTTTCACCTGACTGTTTTAGTTTTATATATCATGACCCGTTGAAAATTTTTGTTTCAGAAACACGGTATTCTATTAAGAAACTAATTACTTCAATTGCTGTGGTTGAATATGACTCGGTAGGAAATCCATGATATCTTGCGTATGCACGTTTTTTCAGGACAAAAAGAGATATTTAGTGTTGAAAGATTTAGCTCGAGATAAAGAGAATCTAGCTGGTAATGTAAGTTCACCCATTGGGTTTAATTATCTATCAGATGTGTCAATCTACTCAAACAACAACTTCACAGTCTTCAGAAAACCAAAATGTCCCCAAATCAACCGTAAGCTCATTAGTTCTTTTTAGCGACATTGATTTCAGGTTTTATCACATCAAGGAAGTCAGTCAACAAAATTGGTAAGAATATTGTGTAATTATCTATTTGAATTTTTTAAATGTACATGTAAACTTTCAAAATAGGAAATAGTTTCGATTGGACTGATTTTTAGTTGATGATATTAATTTATGGTATTGTTGTACGTTATGCATTAAAAAAATAGTATTGTAACCACCAACTGTAAAAGGTTTTAACTGTTACCACTGCGTAAAATAGCAAAATAGATATAAGATTTTCATGTTGAATAATTTCGTTAAAAACGTCCATAAATATAGACGTTTAATTGTTTTCAAAACCTGTCCTAGTGTTTTTTTACTTGGTTCGTTCATGTCGTTGGGAAAGGATTTAATTTCTTTTAACTAGAAACCTTTTTGTTTACAGCTAGATAGTTATAAGTTTGTTTAGTGTTTAAGACTTTAGTTTCAACAATCGGGTTTCAGGTTTAGGCCCCACCCTACCCACCTGGGTTTGGACAACTTTTATAGTTGAATACATGGGTTTTTACTTGATACCTGAGTTACTGGCTTCTGTTCTGAAGAGCTTTCCGCTACGTAAACCAGTAGAAAGTGATATTAGGATGTTTGAAATCACAGTGGTTCATTAAGATAATGAAAAGATTATCTCTTGTCAGAAGCTAAGTGTCTAGCCTCAAATTATATTCTAAACTACTGGAGATTTTTAAATGTTTGCCAATTAATATTCTATCGCCCATCAGATAAGTCTAATAGTACTTTGTCGTAATATATATTACATCACTACTTTTTGAAAAATAACTTTGTATATGTGCTTTTTATATTATACTAGCCAATGGCCCATAAGACACCTCCCTCTTCTCCTCAGTTAGTTCCTACCACCGCTATTACCACTCCTGCTACTTCTATCAATTTTGCTGCTGTTCGTCATACCGTCTATTCCACATTTACTAGCAACGAAACTCGTTTATGGTGGATGGCAGTTATCGATTGTCGTGTTGCAGATATGAAACGTTTGCTAGGAATAAATCCCAAATTAGCCAATTGGGCTGTGAGTTATGAATTTTTTTGTTTAAAATTTAAAGGTGAAAAAGTTTTATTTAAAAAATCACTTTGATGATATTATCAATTTAAGATTAGGTTTAGAAATAGGATAACGTAAATAGTAGTAATATAACGAGAAAGCCTTCACTTTCCTACACAACCTAAGCCAACAGACAGTAGCATAATATACCCATTCTCTTTGTTGAACTAAATTTAACGCTTTCGCAACCTTCTCAAACTTTTTTCGGATGGTGAACACCTGGGCAATATCTGAAAGCCAGTTGAGCTTTTCCTCAAATTAATCACTCTATGGCTATTAGAAGAGGATTTTTACCTTTACAAACTTGTGTAATCAACATTAGTTTAACTAGATGGCATTACTTGGACCGTCCAAACACCATAGCCCCTTTATACCATAAATATTAGTCTAGAGTTAATGAGTAGCGTGCATTTAGAATGTAATTGAAAGCCGGTTGAACTGTTCTTCAAAGTGTTCTGCTTATTCTTCCAACGACTTGGCTTAAAGATTAGCCACTGACCCGTCTTTTTCATTGGTTGATTTCAGGCTATAATTTATTGGATAGGTCTAAATAAGAGTTTATTGTTACTTGCTACCTCAGCCTTTTCAGTTTTAACCAACTTTCTTTGGCCACAGCATTCTTTCATCAATCTATATTTAAGCCGCCCTCGATCATCGTTCTTTTGAGATTTTGAAATGACGTAGATTTTTTTTTGCTTTTGCTCTTAACACTATCCGATCGACCTGTCTAGTATGACAAGAGTTAAAAAGGAAACATTTTCTATTCCAAAGTCTCTATTCTTTTTTCATAATAGCCTAAACTCAACCACCTTATCAGAGTGGCAGATATGATTACCATTCTACAATATTTAAAGTATAACTTGGTCGCAACTACCACTAATTATATTAAAATATTGTTGAGTTATAAGTTAATAACTGAATAATTAATTTGATAGTATGATAATTCAGACCATTTATGTACTATTATGAGTGTAAGCTGTTTCATAAATGCATAATAAATTTTGCATATGGCGAAATTATGATTAATAAACGATTAATATTTAAAAGTAAGAATAGTTGATATATTTCTCCTATCGGTAACAGTTTTCATTCATATAATCTAATATCTTCAATTGTGATTAAAGAGTTTATGATTCTTTATATTGATTGTATTCAGTAACTGGTAAGTGTAAACTACCTGGTTGGGATCCGCGAGACCATAGCAACCGGTGATTAGAGATATACCACCTCTACCACTATGGGATTTGAATGGACAATTGTATCTCTGTGATAATGTGATATGGCATCTTGAACTGATGTATGTACGTACGTACGAAGTTCTACGTTGTTGCTGACTGACTGACTGACTGACTGAGATACATAGATAATGGAAAAAGACATAAAACAACTTATAGGATATGGATAAATAAAAAAGTAATTAACTTGATGTATATGATTTTGAAAAAAGTTCAGAAAATTCTGTTTAGAAAATCATTTAGGAACTATTTTAACTCATTGTCCCAAGAGCCTTTAATCTTACGAATTCTAAACGGCAATTTTGAAATTCGACACATGATTAACTTATATTTATCGTTAACTTTTTCTTGGAAGTCTATCATCTACTCGTTTGTATACTGTGTATCTTCTTCCAGTTTTGTTGAACTAGGCAGCATAATATGCATTAATATATGTAGTCAGCTTTATTTATTACATAGATCAATGCTTGATTATGAAAACGTTAACCTTATGTTCAGTTAAAAGTATGAAGTCATTCTTCACCTCGCAGTTGCTTATACAGTAAAAGGATACTTCTCAAAGTGCCTGAAAAGAAAACTGTGTTATGAGTAGTCTTGACGACCTAGGAGCGGACGTACGGTCCCTAAGTAAGAAATTCTAGAGGCCAGTTACCCGCAGTCTTTTTAGAGCAGTTTTAGATGAGTTAAGTTCGTAACTTTAAGACCTTACCGCTGAGGACGGAGAATCATGTGATCCACGGGTAAGGTAAGGTGTTCTGTTATCAGGATCGACCTTTAACTCCACCCATTGTCAGAAGTCAGCATCTCTCGAGATGTTGGTTGTCTGAGGGAAACACTCTACTGCTGTCATATCTCCCATACAGTCAGCTGTATGACTTCGCCGTCGGACCACAAGCTTGCTAATTTTAGTCCTACTGCTCTCCAACTGGTTTAAATGAAAAAGTGTTCCGGTCAATATATACCTCGATTAGGTCATGGCCATGTTCAAGCCTGACTACCTCGTTAACGTAGCAGCTACAGTTAGGATATATCAGTGTGTTTCTAACAAGCCTTCTAATATTTACGAGAACTTTTTGTCAACCACTCAATAATGGCTATGATTAAAACTGTCTGCCTGTCTTTTGTCTTCATTCAGCTCGCTTCTATTTTATCTAATATGATAGTAGAGAATAATTGAACAAGTATACATGATACATGTCCTAGTGAACTCGTTCAATAATACTTCATAATCTCATTAATTAGTAATTCATTTTTAGCTTAAAGAACTGAGTTAAAAACTAATAATTAGATACATCTCGTTCACTGAATAAAGGTTTATCTGCTTAGCTTTGTCCTACAGTGAATTGTATAAGGAATTTCAGTGATACTACTCGATTCATCAATCCACAATAGGATTTTAACCTGTGGTTGTAAATGAACTACTTTATAGCTTACTAGGCCACAACTTTAAACTCTGTACTCATCGTTGATTTAACTCATACTGGAATATTGTCTAAAACATCATAAATGATAAAATAGGCATAAAAATGTAATAGATACAGATCCAGTTTTGTTACAAAATGAATTAAAAACGGTATTATTATTAAAATTTCCATTATTACACATACACTATATGATGATCATACAAACTTGTGATAAATGACCACCAAGTTATTTATAACAACTCTAATTATTGATCAGATAATAATAGGTGTTAGTGAATAATGTTATATGATTGGGGCCAATCGACCCAAGTTTCATGTTAGTTAATACTTTCATCTACAAATGTGCCTGAAATATTGGATGAATTATTGATCTTTTAAAGATTGGATCAACTATGAGGTCTGGATACAACATGATATTAGTTACTTACTATTCACTGACCAAACTACATGATACTTGTGTTACTTAGATCTAACCATTGCCCGACCCAGCGGTCAATGCTAGCTAATATAAGAGAGTAAGTTGGAAGAAAAGTAAAAGCGACCAAACCAAAACGTGACATCATTTCATGGAGCCATTGCTTTTTGGCATGAAGGATGTTGGTAAATGCGAATTACTTGGTAGGAGTTCAGATAACCACTACGATTAACGATTGCAAATGTAAGATAATACGTGTCAGAATCGGTTACAATGATCCAGATGCATTTAATGTTTTAATTTAGATCGTGAGTTCGAACACTCCTTCATTTTGTCTTTTCATCAATGTCAACACCGTTATTATTAGAGTAATAATCATTTTGTCGGTAACACTCAATATTTTTCAAATACTTTTCATGTTTCTTTGATTTCCTGCAGTAATCACTATGATTACTTATAGTTTTTATGTCCCTTTTACTCTGATACCTTACATTACCATGTGGGCCTTGCAAGATACAGATAACGTACTATAACTGTAAACCATATTTATAAATACACATATTTTGTATGTATACACACACACGTGCACAACGATATGCTGTTATTTCATTCACTATATTGTAAATACTTAGTAAAAGAATATATAAGAGATTACGTCGTTATTACTCAGGGTATCTGTTGAACAGGTTAATGGCTATCTGGATTCGGAAACCCAGTGAATAGCGTATTGGCGTATTGACGGATACATCCATCTGATAAATCATACTGTTAACCATAAATGATATATTCTAAACTCATCGGATTACTTTCATCCTAGATTGAGAAGGATCAGAATTTTAGTCCATAATTTGGCGTAATCATTATTTACGGTTTATTATGGATTACTTAGATTTTGATAAATATTAATTTCGTATTCTGATTTCGATATATTCTTGTGTTTTAAATTTCTCCGTTTTATGTTTTATTTTTACTGTATTGTAACAGGATCCAGTGAATGGTGTAAGTTCGTGTTTTTTTTTTGTGTTTGTATAATTTGATGATTAATTCAGTGGTTGATTGTTTAATACCGAATACAGTCTAGATTTTAAGTCATCATTGATGTATCCGAAAGTTAATTTTTTATCAATATGAACTCAGTATGACTTGATAAAGCCCCCAAATGCCCTGGTACGGCCGAGAGTGAGGAGAGTCCGCTCTCCCTTTCGAAACGCTCTCACATGGCCACGCGTATGTAGTCTCTGCCAGGAAAATCCTACTCACTGCCTTCTCGTGGCATCACTGTTGTTTACGAAACTGAGAGAACGAAAAGCGAATGTCCGGCGCTTTAGACGGCTTGGTGGAAACGGCGAGTCTACTTAGGGGAGTTAGAAAACCTTGATCCCAAACCAATGGTGCACATGGGCTCCATTATCCTGAAGGAACAAATGGCGTATAAACCAGTTATTGGACAGCGGCTACCATTGAACTGCATCTCCTCACGATGCTCCACTGCGTTGTGGATCAAACTTTTTGGTTGAAGGCTCCGGGTGTGGCTCCCTAAGAAAACCACCTGCTTCGTTTTAGGCACCTGAGCAGTATCATAGCTCTCACATATGTCAAATGAGATTTGTGTGGCGCATGTGTATTTGGTGCCTCCTTGTACCAATATCTATGTGTTCATATAAAATAAATAAATAAATAAATGGTAAACCAGTTGAGGAATAGTTTGCGTGATACTCCTTATTTGGTCATCGGTAGTAATCGTCAGTACATAAGTCTAAATTAGGTTAATTTCTGGTTTGCACTGATTCACGTAATCTTAGGAAAATCGACGTCTATTTTCTCAGAGCTGATCTCTTCGGACCATTGATAAATTTCCGTAAGCTAATATACACACCTTCCTAATGTGTTTATGCCAAATAACACAAAATCTGGATTCACTGTTTCATCTGTTGATTGGTGCCAGTTTTCAATCTGCTGAACGAAAGCAGAATGGTCTAATTAATGTGTGAGTCACTACATCTTAAATATTCACCACTTCAAATTATAGCTCTGATTGATCATCAATAAAGGAAAAATTATAATAGATTTGGCCCATAAGTGTAGTTGTTATATATATATATATATATATATATATATATATATATATATATATATATATATATATATATATAGGACGGAACGGCCGTCCAGTGCTTTGAGGTTTCCCATGGTGGTCTAGCTTCAATCGACTCATGATCTCAACTGTTGAAATATCTACAATCTCCACAAAACCCCTTCTGACTTGTCGAGTGAATTGGTGTCCAAGAATACTAAGCAATGGAAATATCTAGGTCGTAATAAAGAGAGATTATAATAAAATTATTGCTTGAATAATATAAAATATTTGTAAATGATAACTATCAGTTATCATAAGAGTGTAATAAATTAGTTTGTCTACTGATACAATCGTTTTACACACAATTACAGAGATCTTTTGTTTTCAGTTTGAAATCATTCGTGAAGATGTAATAAAGACATTCTGTTAATATCTGATACATGAATGCTTGATGCAGAATTTCTAACATTTCCACCCGCCCGCCCCCCACAGAATTTTAATATACTTGAGCTTCGAATACAAAGCAAAAGGTGGAACTTTTGAAAATAAGCTTCATTTTCAATGTTATTTTACGTACAGAAAATAAAGATATATATGGTTGTATGTGTGATCATGATCTACTTGACGCTTCCGAAAGTATGTAAAAATTAGTTACAAAACCGGGAATTACACAATCAAGATATGACACAAAGTTTATCCTTTTGATAAAACACTCTCGGAAGCTTCAGTTAAACCCTGATTGGAATATATACATATATATTTCAATAGTTGAGATCATGAGTTAATTGAAGCTAGACCACCATGGGAAACCTCAAAGCACTGGACGGCCGTTCCGTCCTATTATGAGACTCCTTAGCAGTGTGCATCTACGACCCCACCTCGGGGGATTCGAACCCAGGACCTATCAGTCTCGCGCCAGGCGCTTATTCAACTAGACCACTGAGCCTACAAGATCCAACGGTGTTAATGTCTAACATCAACTAATTCACGAGATCGAGCGACACATCCACCATTGTATTCAGTGAGTTACTACCTCACAACTGACCCGGTCGAACTCCACTGATCACTGCTTCTTACTAGAACTCCAGGATATATCTCTTGAAGCCAGTCACTAATGAGCATATGTTGATTAGTATCAGATGCGCACTGCTGAGGAGTCCCACAATAGGACGAAACGGCCGTCTATTGCTTCCAGGTTTTCCATAGTGGTCTAGCTTCAATTGACTCATGATCTCAACTGTCGCAACAATGATAACTTCACAATTAAGCTGTTCATATGAAAGCATGCAGCACCATCATTGGTACTTTATAGAATGAAATCATTCCTGTTAATGTTTTAACTGATTAAAAAATGACTATACTATTTTGTACGTATTCATAATTTTTGTCTGTTTCTTGTATTTGTTACCCGCCTTCTCCCCTTTGCATATACAATTCATGAAAATTGAATATGGATTATTCTAGTGGGTAAGTCTTGTTCTGTATTTTGTTTTCATTTGCGAGTAAAGTAAGGTAATTTGTGAAGAGACTATAGAATGTCAAGGTAGCTCTTAAGATACAGTCAACTTTCAACCATTAAATCACAGGTTCAAATCCTTATCCATCATCCTTTGAGTTTGGGGACTCCCTGTTTGAATTTAAATACCTATCACCTAATCATACAGTAAGAAGGGTTAATAGTAAGTTATTCTAGCAACTACTAACTTTACTCCTTCAGGTCTAAGATATTTGTATTGATTGGTTACTGAGTAGTGGCCAATCTGATCATGTCTATTCCATATTCTACTGACCATATTCCGTTTATCAAGTTCCAACGTAGCCATTGGTTTATGTGACTCGACATCACAGTTTACTTTGTCAGGTGGTTGAAAAATATCAACAGGGAGCCTTGCTTAAGCTACATTTCGTGCTCATCATCGAGTTTTTAGAGACCAACTGTAACTAATTACATTGAAAATGGCTTTCGTGACGATGTAATCAAATCATATTGTCTGAAAAACTTATCTCCAAGGTTCCTATTATGTTGGTCAGTAAATCTAATGTACAAAGACAACCAATTACTGACTTTGCTCAGTTATGACGGAAGTGGAATTTCTTCCTGGATTCCTAGCATCCCTAGAAATCAACTCTTATCAATAAGTTTAATAATCAATATTTGTAACCGATCTAACTTGCTTCGACTATTACTCTACCAAGTGGTATTGATTTTCTCCAGTGAGTATATTAGACTGCAAATCATATCATATATATAAAGCTCACCAATAAAACTGTAACATATAGTTTGGTGTCAGGTGAAGGGGTTCTAACCTATAAACTTAATGATTAAACATAATGATAAAACATCGTTTTATTCTACTTGGTTTCCTATTCATGTATTTTTCTTTTTTTCACTAATACATTGTAGACTGCATTACATTATGCAGCAAAATTTGGTAATATAAACTGTCTGAAATTATTGATTCATCAGTATCATGCTAATGTGAATACACGAAGTAGGGTAAGTTAGAATGTGAAAAAAGAAGAATTATTATACATACTTTTATATCCTAAATGTTCATTTTTTGGTTGTTGTTGTTGCTGTAATTGATCATGTTGTATGGTACAATGATATTCACCTTTGATTGAAATCATTAATTGTCATTTTGAGTTGTATGATTAATTGTACGCTGTTATAAATTTAACTTGTTTACACTTCCCATTCAATCGGGTCATTAGATTACAGTCATCTAATGGTGAGTTCGCTTTATTCTTCATCTAATCAATAACCTCTTCAACCAATAATACAAATGACTATGATAACAACCGGAACTATTCTTTATACCTGTTGGTTCTATTATTATTATTTATTTATTTTAACACATAAACATTGGTACAAGAAGGCACCAAGTAGATATGCGCCACATAAGTCATTTGATTTGTGTGATTGCTGTGATACTGCCCGGGTGCCCAAACCGAAGCAGGTAGTTTTATTAGGGGGCCACACCCGGAGCCGTCGACCTGAAAGTCTAATCCACAACGCAGTGGAGCATCGTAAGGAGATGCAGTCCCATGGAAACCGGTGACCAGCGATTGGTTCATACACCATTTGTTCCCTGAGGATACTGGAGCCCATGTGCACCATTGGTTTGGAATCCGGTTAAAGCGCTGGACATTTGCTTTTCGTCCTCTCAATTTCGTGAACAACACCCCTGGTGTGAGAAGGCAGTGAGTAGGACTTCCGTGGTAGAGGCTGTATACGCGTGGCCGTGTCAGAATATTTCGAGAGGGAGAGCGATCCCACCCCACTCTCGGCCATACCAGGGCATTTGGGGGCAGATATTCAAACAGGCTATTATCTGATGTTATTACAATAACTCCATAGATGATTATGCCTAACTCCTTTGGATATAAAATAAACCTCTCAAAAATCATATCATATACGTATACTTACATATATAGTAGTAATGTAATATAATTTCTTAGCCTCAATATCTGATATGATTACCGTTAAAAAAAATAGAACTTTAATTAATGTATTTTCATTGATTCAATTCATTATGACTCTATATAAAATTACCAGGGATACAATCTAACGTAGTTCATTATAATTTTGTATTATGCTTTAATTAAGGTGAATGTGTGTATCGATCTTATTTTTTATGGAAACCATTTGAGTAATATACATATCTAATTAAAAAAGCGTTGTACTTTTTAACATTAATAAGTAGATCATTGTAACTCTATGATGAAGGTTAATCACTCTGAACTGATTAAAGTTATGTGTAATTATTATGTAATGAGTTTATTCTGTTTACTCTTCAACTCATAAACTATCTTTAATGGTTTATAGAATTATATGAAAACAAGGATTGTTTATTATTGAATACAGTGGTTTTGAGTGTTGTTAGTGCTGTGAAGGCGGTTCTCACTTTCCGGTTGCTCACACTATAGAACGGTTCTTCTGGGGGTACCTAATAAGGATATTGGATTAGAGGTGGTCTTAGTGACCCGAGAGCGTGACTTCAGTGACCAAAGTACAACTGGTTGAGGTCTGTCACACACGAGGTTGTTGTGAGTAATTTTTGTGTTAGCTCCATATTTGTTGATACCTTACCGCTGCAGACGGATATCCGTGAGATAAGGTGATGTGTGGATTTTTAAGGTGGACTTATTCTAACCTCACCCCTCCTTGTGGGAAGGCAGCATCGCTGTTATGGTGGTTGTCTGAAGGAAACACCTTACTGCTGTCACATCTCTGTACAGTCAGCAATAGGACTTCGCCCTCAGACCTTAGGTTTGCTGCTTTTAGTCTTACCGCTCTTCAACCGACCTGTTTGACATGGTCGGACCTTGAGGAACAGTTGTTGCAGCCAGTATAGCTCGATCGGTTCAAGTCCGACCACCACGTCAAGGTATCAACAATGGTCGGGTATGGGGAGAACGTTGTAACTGACCGACTGACTGACTGATTTGTAATGTTACAATAAATTTGACTGAACTCATGCTTATGATTATGGTATAACATCAAGTAATTGGACAAACTGTCTTGATATATAGTAAAATACTATATTGGTAAAGATGGCAAATTAAATGACGAAGTAATGAAACTTCATCATTTGATATAACTGGGACATGTTTTACGTATGCTCAACCACCGGCTGCCTCGACCTGCGATGTTTTGTGGTGTAGGAGTAGGTTGGAAGAAAGCTAGGGGTGGCCAGACCAAAACATGACAGAAATCAGTGAAGTCACTGACAAGTGGACTGAGCAGTGTTGGTAGGTATAGACTACCTGGTTGGGATCTGCTAGACCATGGCAACCGATGGTTAGAGGCTTTGAATGACATGGCTCAAAATCATTTGCAATAGCGCAGGTTCATCCACTCTTTGTGTTCTCCCAAATTCTAATTTTCTGAATTCTTCATTTCCCTTTTTTCTCTTTCCAAATTTATTTCACTGGATTGTACTCCTTGAATAACACTTGCTAGAAAATTATCAGAAACTAAGGATCACTAGACATCTTTTATTTATTTATTTTTTGAATTTGGGATTTTTTAGTTGTCCTTATCCATAATTTAGCTCGAGATGAAACTAATAGTAGAGGTGTGTATATTCTTGACATTGTCGTTAACTTCTTCACACTTAGATAGCCTATATGTTTTTACTGTATAGAACCAAACTAACGATAGACAATTTCACATAATTTTGTATCATGTTGTACTCTGCGTACTCAATGCATTTTTTCCCAATCTAATCTAACACTAACTACTTGGTCATAATTATTAGTAAGGTTAGGTATTCCACAGTCAGTTGAGCATATGAAATACATTAACTTTGATTCCCCTGATATATACTCACTGCCTTCTCGTGGCGGGGGCGTTGTTTACGAAAATGAGAGGACGAAAAGCAAATATCCGGCGCTTTAACTGGATTCCAAACCAAACCAATGGTGCACATGGGCTCCAGTATCCTGAGGAAACAAATGGTGTATGAACCAATCGTTGGTCACCGGCTTCCATGAGACTGCATCTCTTTACGATGCTCCACTGCGTTGTGGATCAGACCTTCAGGTCGAATGCTCCGGGTGTGGTCCCCTAAGAAAACTACCTGCTTCGGTTTGGGCACCCGGGGAGTATCACAGCCCTCACATATATCGAATGAGATTTGTGTGGCGCATGTGTATTTGGTGCCTCCTTGTACCAATATCTATGTGTTAAAATAAATAAATAATAAATATATTGATGAAGCTGAACAATCTGTATACAGCAGAGTATACTAAAAATAAAACTGAGGTCCACATATAAAATCGAATAGCTCAAATTGTATCTCGAAATGATGAATAAAGTTAACCTCGTCAATTTTTTTCGTTTTTTTTGGTGACATCCATTTTAACCAACCATACGTTTTTTATTTGTTTATATATTCAAATCCTTTTCCATCTGAACGCTTTCTTGTACATGAAACAAAATACTCACTTTATGTCTAAATTGTATCGTTTTTTTCATTCTGTTTTGTTGTTATGTCATTTATGTATGATACAATCTTTACATATTTATATAGATTATGTATATTTATTCATTGAAATTCTGATACACCGTTTTTCTCCACTCTCATTCTCTCCCTCTCTCACCTTCTCACCCTTTCATTGCTATGGTGGTTAGTTACATTTCTGTGTTGATATTTCAACGAATTACACTTTTAAATGCTTCGTTTCATCTGTTTGTCCATTTATGTGTGTGTGTGTGTGTGATATTTACAAGAACATGTTTGCATATTCATTTATAAAGACTACTTTTAATTATGTAAATAGTGTGCATTATTTTAATGAAATTTATGATATAACTTATTTGTTTATGCATAGTTATTTATCTTAGTTTCTCTAAATAATTTGACTTTATTCATGTAAGCGCGTAAACACTTATGTTTTTACCTTCAGTGTTGTGTGTGTATGCATAATTGAGAACAGGAGAGAGAGAGAGTGACTACTCAGGTCCTTGTATATATACAATCATGAACTATAATTGATTATATTCACAATGTTTTTTTTCTATCGATATTGTACAAATTGACTTGTAGAGCTGCGATTCAGTAGTATCTTGTAATTATCTAAATTTGTAGCACATTTCATCGATTATTGTTTACTGTAATTTTTCTACAAATGCCCTGGTATGGCCGAGAGTACGGAGAGTCCAGTTTCCCTCTCGAAATGCTCTCAATTGGCCACGTGCATACAACAAATGTCACTGCCTTCTTGCGGCATTTCTGTGGTTTACAAAATTGAGAGGACGTAAAGCGAATGCCCGGCGCTTTATCCGGGTTGGTGGATATGGAGGATCCATCTATGGGAGTCGGAAAATCCTGATTCCGAACCAGTGGTGCACATGGGCTTCAGTATCCTGAAGGAACAAATGGTGTATTAACTTGTTGTTGGTCACCGGCTACTATGAGACTGTATCTCCTTAAGTTGCTCTACTGCGTTGTGGATTAGACTCTTAGGTGAAAGGTTTGGGGTATGGTCCCCTAATAAAACCACCTGCTTCGATTTTGCCATCCGGAAAGTTTGTCAGTCCACACAGAAATCAAGTGACTTGTGCGGCGCATATGTATTTGGTGCCCCTTTGTACCAATATTTATGTGTTTAAATAAATAAATGTGTAGTTTTTCTACAACCGTTGTTTAATATAATCGTATATTAAGAGTTTTGTCTAGATAATTTTTCACTGAATATCCAAGAAATAAATAACCACAACGTTAATGATAATCAAAGTGATACAATGATTCATTTATATTGATTATTTGAATCTTCCCGTTGATATTTAGGACTGCAAATAATCTCTGTTTTTTGTCACAATGCATCCTGATAATAAGTCACAAGCATTATATACGTAGAAATAGATGGTGGTGAGAAGTGAATAACGCGATAGCATTTAAAGTGAACGACACTGGGTTCAAATTCCGAAGTGAACATCAAATCTAGGATGGACGTACATTCAGTTGATGCGTTCTAAATGAAATGAAA